GGGCCCAGACTTGGGCCATCTTGTACTGCTATCCCAGGCCACAGCAGAGAGCTAGACTGGAAGAGGAGCAACCGGAACTAAAACCCGGTGCCCATAAGGGATGCAGGTGCTGCAGGCAGAGGATTAACCTAGTGCGCCACAGCGCCGCCCCTCCCCGTTATGTCTTGTGGCAATCCTTATGGGCACTGCTGAGTCCTGGACCCACATACATGGGATGGGGTATCTGGCAGGAGAAAGCCGTGGCCTTGAATTGATTTACACCACCTGTCAATTAAAAAGAGGTCCTCACATTCTGAGTCACACACGCAATTTAGAATTTTCTCGTTGCCACATTAAATAAAAGCACAAAGCAATTGATGCAATGCATTTCAGTAATGTATTTTGTCTAAAATATCATTGCAAAGTGAATTCAATCTATGAATAACTAATGGCATAATTTATATTCTTTTCTCACCCTGAGTCCAGGGTGTGTTTTACACTTAAAGCACATCATAATTGGATGCTAAATTTTCATCAGAGAAACTTGATCTTTATTTTTATCATTTGATAAATTCAGCATTGAAAAGCTGTATTTATGTACTCAAGTTGTTCCAAATAATTGGTTCCAATAATGAAACCAAGTATTACTTTTTACATTTGGATTTATGTTAATTAAAAATTTAAATAGCAGGCATTCTGGTGCAGTGGGGATGCTAGCTTCCTGTGGCCCAGTGCTGGTTTAAGTCCTGGCTACTCTGCTTTTGATCCAGCTCCCTGCTAACGTGCCTGGGAGGCAGCACGTGGTTGTTCAAGTATTTGAGTCCCTGTCAGCTACGTGGGAGACCCACATGGAACTCCTGGCTCCTTCCTTCAGTGTAGCTCAGCTGTGTCTATGCAGCCATTTGTGGAGTGAAGCAATTCATAGATCTCTCTCAGTCTCTCCACCTCTCTCTCATTTACCTTTCAAATAAATAATAAATAAATATTTTTGAGAATTCAGAAAATCAACAAGTGCATTTCTCAGTGGTGATAGTAAAATTCCAAGTTCTTGGTGACCACACTGTTGGATAGCAAGCTCTGGGATGTAAGTTTTCCTTTGTGTACATTTAGTTAAAAAGGATGGCTTTGCACGATATTATTATTTATAAATAGCCACCATTTAGTGTGTGCTCACTGTCTGACAATAGACACACTGGATCAGTTAGTGCCCACAGTACATTCCAGAGGTACCCACTAGCTTTCTCACTGTGCAGATATGGAGAAAAATTGAGACGTGCAGAGTTTCAGTAACTTGCCCACAACCCAAAGGTCACTCCTGAGTAGGAGAGGTTTTGTGGCTTCTTCTATGACTCCTGTTATATTATTATTTGTATTATGTCATCCCTTGTATTGTGTGTGTGGGTGAACTGATCAAGACACTTTCCAGAGTGGTCTACACTACGAGACTCCTGGTTTCAGAGTTCTCAAGAAGTTACATGCAAGCAGATTATGTCAAATGTCTTCATTTTGGATTGGCACAGAGAAGACGTTCGGCTCATGGGGACATGATGCTCATGTCCTGGCATCAGGTGGGGACAACCAGGACATGGCAGGGAGTCCCCTTCTTTGGTTGCCAGTACGGCTTCTTGCACATTGAAGCTTCCCTCATCCTTGCAGGGGTGTGTGTGTGTGTGCATCTGTGTGGTGTGCTCCCAGGTTCCCCCTTAGATGCACAGGGAAATCTGAGGGTCTTACTGTTATTTAAAACCTGCACCCCAGCCATTCTTGAATGACCATACAGTCTGTAGCCTTGAATGCGGAATAAAGAAAGCCCCTTAAAAAATGAGGCTTTGGGAACAGTTTGTTAGGTTTTGCGTTGGGTGAGGGCAGCTGAGTAGCTGCTGTGTTGGACAGCGTGGTTCTGAGGCATTGGTTTTCTCTGGGTACTGTTAGTTGAGAAAGCTGGTTTGTGCGATACCTATCCTTGTTTGAGGACTGGCAGCAGCACTGGGAAGTGGACCTGCTTTGACTACTGACTCTTTGATACCAAACCCATGTGATTGCAGATAAACCAAACACTCACACATAACACACTCTCCCGTGCCCGCATGTGCACACACAAGTCTGTGTGCTGTTGTCTGCATCTGCCAGGAGACCGTCCATGGAAACCGGGTCTCCAGTCAGAGATCTTCTCACGTGTTTTTCCTTCTGACGTCTCCTAAGGAGGAGGTTGCTCTAGGCTGCAGGTCCTTCCTCACCATTCAACAGGTGTAAGTTGATGGGGCGGGGGGTAGTAGGGCCAGGGTATTTGGGTACCAGATCCTGAGGGCACAGCTCTGCTGTCCTCTGGGTCCAGACCTGTTCCTCTGATTTTCTAGAACCATTCTTGGCACACTCCTTTTTCTCTCCTATATGGACTGGTCTGCTAGATCTTCTCTCCTTGGGTCTCCCTATGGTTGCTTCCACGTATATCCATGCTAAGTCACTTTTCCCGTTAGTCACATTGTCATCGAGTGCCTTCACCTGCTTCATCTTCGTGGCTGTGACTTCTCGATGCCTTGGGAATTTGGCTTCTCCTCCAGTTTGGTGGCAGCTCTAGTGAGGACTGCGTGGCCCATGTTGAGGGTGGACATACTGGCCGTGTGTTTCCAGTCGAAGGGAAAGAGGACGCCCCGGAGATGTTATGGTGGGGGTGGAGGAGCACACACAGAAGTTCCTGGGCAGGGCGGGGCTTGAGTAAACTTTGCCCAGGAACCTCTTGGCCCGTTGTGGAGGCCCCTGCGTGGGACGGAGCTCTCTGGTTCAGGTCAGCAGCTGTCAGACATGCCTGAGGATAGAGGTGGTTTGTGGACTTTGGGATTCTGTAAGAAGGACATGGGGGCTTGGGGGTGTTGTTGGAAATGAGGTAAATGATGTCAGTGTGTTCCTGTTCTTGGGTTGGATTCCCTCCCAGGAGGTCATGTCCTGGTGCATACCCTTGGACCAGCTCCATCCTTGGGTGGCCCCAGCGCTAGTGCAGGGTGCAGCCTCCCACAGGCCCAGCAGGTCTTGGCTTTTTGCAGTGCCCCCGTAGAGAGACACCTTCCGTGAGGCCTCCGTTCTTACTCTGGCATCTCAGAAGGGTTGAGTGGGAACATAAGGAAATCCATGTGAGGCCCAAATGTGAAGGGACCGTTGGGGCCTCCTCCCTGACCCCTATGGATTCCAGACATCGTTGCCAGTAAGGCTGAGGTGGCCTCTTCCCAGGATATGTGTAGCAGGTGGCGGCATCTCCTGCATGACATCTGGCTGAAGAATCTTTACTGGGATTCTGAAGTTGGCAAGTGAACCATCTACTCACTGAGCACAGCTCTTCCTGAGAAAACAGAGTTGCTATCCTTCTTCCCTAGGGAGCAAATCCATATGGAATTTGAAAAATGTTGGCGTGAACCGCCTACCTGGGTCCCCAGGGAGATGTTGGGCCAGAAGCGTTCCTGTTCTTCCTGATTTCTTCCTTCTCCCTGTTTGCCCTGTGCACCTGCCTCCCCTTGGTCGTTCATTGTAGGGTGTCTTGGGCACAGTTCTGCCGGTGTTTTGCATGCTTGTAGGAACCACTCCGATGTTGCTTGCTCATTTTATTTTTTCATATATATAAAAGGCCCAGGAGGCAGGAATGCAAAACATACTTTTATGTATCATTAATGATGTAAGTCCTAAAACCCAGCTAAACATTATTTACTGTTCCCAAACATTGAGGTCTCTGCTCCCGTGCTCTGCATTTTAAAGGAGAATGGCTGGGTAGGGATCAAAATACAGAGCCAGTGCTGTGAGCACATGGGCCAAGCCCAAGTGTGGGTGGTGCTTGGGTCGCATTGGATCTGCAGTTGGGAGAGACAGGAATTGCATTTTAAATCTTATTGGTAGCCATTTCCTTATTGCTGTTGCATTTTCTGAGCATCGTTTCTCCATGCTTCTCTCTGAAACCCCGAGCTTTCTTGGACCTGGCCCTCATGCTCCAGGGTCCTCGGCTGTTACGGCCACATTTCCTGTCTCGGTCACTTTGCCTAATGTCTGTTTTCCCAGCCTTCCTCAGCCCACGGTGCCACAGTCCAGGGCTGGGCCGTCCGACTTGAGGGAACTAGGAGTAGGTGAAAGAATCTGCGGTTCACCCATCTTTGTTGTGTGACGTTTTTCATATAGCAAATCACCGAATTATAGCTGGAGAATCAAGAAGCACCAAATAAGAGTGTCTGTGTTCGTGTCATGTGCACACTGTAGGATGTGTGTCTGGGTTTGCATGTATTGTGAATGCTTGTGAATTGTTTATGTGAATTTATATTTATGTGTGAGGGTACTTCAAGGTGTTCATGGAGAGAGGAATTAAAAGATAAGCTTATTTGGGTGCAGAAAAGTTTGAAATCCTTGTATAATTTTTCATAGTATGCATTTTTTCATGAAATTTCAATAATTGTGCATGGATTGCAAGAGTTTTTCTCCCGAAGTAAACTTACCTTTTAATTCCATTTTCTAGGACATTTTTCTTTTCAGATTTATTTGTTTATTTATTTGAAAGGTTGAGAGAGGGAGGGAGAGAAGGAGAGAGAATCAGCCTTCCATCTTCGGGTTCACTCCCCGCGTGCCCACCAGAGCTGGGCTGGCCCAGGCTGAAGCCGGGAGCTCTGATGGGTCTCTCTTGTGGGTGGCAGCAACCTACGTACGTGGACGCTCATCTGCTTCCCAGGGGCGTTTGCGGGAAGCTGGATGGACAGCGTAGGCAGGGCTTGACCCCGGGCACGTTGCCAGGGGCTGCTGGCATCCCAGACGGCAGCGTAAGTAACCACTGCACCCACTGCCTGCCCCTGCGTGATCTGTCCAAAGTGTCTACGTGCAGCAGAGATGCATGACGTGCCAGTGTTTTTGTGTCGATTACTGACAAGGCGACAGACACGAGGCCCCTGTGGTCAAGACTCCAGCCCTCTCCCCGGGCCGGGCTCCCGTGCGGCGGGGCAGGCAGCTGTCACCATGGCGGTAGGCGTCACTGACTGGCCCTGTGTCCCCGGCAGACTGCAGGGAGATCCTGCTCCCCATGATGACCGATCAGCTCAAGCGCCACCTGGAGAGACAGGAAGACCTGGAGGCCTGCTGCCAGCTGCTGAGCGACATCCTGGAGGTGCTGTACCGCGAGGACGTGGTGAGTGCCCGCCTGGCCGCGCGGGCCGTGTCCTGCCTGCGAGGGGCACTGGGCCGCTCGGCACGAGGGAGGACTGGGCTGCTCTCACTAGGGAGCACTGGGCTGCTCTGCAATAGAGAGGACCGGCCTGCTCGGCACAAGGGAGGACCGGCCTGCTCGGCACAAGGGAGCACTGGGCTGCTCTCACTAGGGAGGTCCGGCCTACTCTGCACTAGGGAGGACTGGGCTGCTCTCACTAGGGAGCACTGGCCTGCTCTGCACGAGGGAGCACTGGGCTGCTCTGCACGAGGGAGCACTGGGCTGCTCTGCACGAGGGAGCACTGGGCTGCTCTGACTTGGAGAGGACCAGCCTGCTCTCACTAGGGAGCACTGGGCTGCTCTCACGAGGGAGCACCGGTCTGCTCTGCACTAGAGAGGTCTGGCCTACTCTCACTAGGGAGCACTGGGCCGCTCTCACTAGGGAGCACTGGGCTGCTCTGCACGAGGGAGGACCGGCCTGCTCTGTACGAGGGAGCACTGGGCTGCTCTCACTCGGGAGCACTAGCCTGCTCTGCATGAGGGAGCATTGGGCTGCTCTGACTTGGAGAGGACCAGCCTGCTCTCATGAGGGAGCACTGGGCTGCTCTGCACGAGGGAGCACTGGCCTGCTCTGCACGAGGGAGCACTGGCCTGCTCTCACTCGGGAGCACTAGCCTGCTCTGCACGAGGGAGCACTGGGCTGCTCTCACTAGAGCACTGGCCTTCATTTGAAGGTTCACTGGTTCTTTCCCTCTGTGCAATTGCACTCTTAGATTATTTTTATTTAAGAACATAGCATAATGTTTATTATTCTGCATTGAAATTAGGTTACTTCCTGTATCTTCTCAATGCACAAGGCATCCCAAGACCTAGATTTTAATCCTTAAATTCAGAGAAAAAGGCATTGATGCTAAAGGTTGGCCAATTACCTGCATTCTTTCTTTTAATTCTTATTTTTATTTAAGTAATACATGCACAGCCCCCCCCCCCCAAAGCCCAGCGTGTTGCTAAGGTTACAGTGAGAGGGGCAGCTCTCGGCTCCTCCCCCGCAGGCTAACACGGTAACACTGTCTGTCCCTGCCTAGCGTGGCCTCTGCACCCTGGGCTGTATTTCCTTTAGCTTTTATAAATGCATGCTTATTCCAGTGACTAATTTTTTTGGACAGAAGCTGATAGAGGCACAAGTGGAAAAATCTCACCCTCTGCCTCCCATCCCCAGCGTGACACATTTGTTTCCACGTGCACACCCGTGAGGGCGTTGCCTTTCCAGGTGTGTGTGGAAAGAGGGGAGTGATAGAGCCAGGAGACGTCTAAGACGCTCGGTAGAGCCGGGGACAGAGTGCCCAGGTGACTTCAGGCCTGACTGCAGGCAGCGGAAGACGCGAGCCTGCACACAGAAGGCGCGTCTGGAACACAGCGCCCCAGTGTGCAGGCTGAGAACAGGATGCAGTCAGAGCCGGACCGGTCCAGATGCTGACCCCCAGCAAGGAGAAGGTTAGCCGTGACTGACAGGATTGCAAAACCCTGCACAACTTCCCCCAGCCCAAAGACGTAACCCCTCGGAAGCCTCCCTGTGTGGATCCCCACCCAGGAAGACCTCCCGCGGGGGGAGCTTGCCTGCGCTTCAGTGGAACTTGGAGTTTCTTTCTCTCTTTGCTCCGAAAACTTCCCTTCCTGCTCACGTCTCCTTGTCTGTGCTCCTCATCCGTCTCCGTCTGAGCGGGTGGAAACACCGCCTGCCTCATCAGCACCAGGGCTCCTGGCGGGGAGGCCAGGATCGCAAGTCCGCGGGTGGGGCTCGTCCTTAGCGGCCTCCTGCGTGACCTGGCCACCTGCCTGCTCAGCTCACACACCTGGCCGCCTGCCGCCTGCCGCCTCCAGCGCCGGCTCGAGCGCTCAGAGCCTGCTGGGTGCTCTTGACGGAAGAGCTCTGCTGATGGAGGCCCAAAGACCAGGCTCCAGCGGTCCCCTTCCAGGCCTGGTCTTTTCTTACTGGAACAAAGGTCTGGGGTAACACAGTTTTATGTCAAATCAGAGGGAGGCGGTGGGGGGACCCCACGGGAAAGAACGGAACCGGAAGGCGCTTTTCATCAGGTGCACGGCTCCGTGAGGAAGAGTCAGCGGTCCCTTTGCACAGTAAATAAGAGTGGTTTTCCACCAGTGGAGAACTGCAGCAGTCTGAATTGTGTATAATTTGCTAACCTGACATTTAAGCTCTCCTGTGTGACAGTTGGAATCCTTGGTGTTTGACAGGCAGAGCAGTGTGGGGTTGAGATCTGCCTGCCGCCTTTTTACAGATGGCCTGGTGTCTTTGAGAAGTAATTAGCTAATCAGGGATCATAAACATTATATTGTTAAAACATATTTGCCTTATTTTTAAGGTTTGCTTAAATTAAGTTACTATGATTACACAACGAATTATCATTAATGGACTATAATTAATAAAGTGACTTGAGTTTTCTTTGAGAAGGCTTTGCCTTTGACAAGGGCCATTTTTCATCTCGTTAAGGGCTGTAATTGATTTACTCTTTGCAGGGTAAATGGATCTGGTGGCAAGGGCCGGGCTTGCATGCTAACGATGGCTCTGGTGTGTCTCCCCCAGGGGCCGACCCAGAGGCACGTGCAGATCATCATGGAGAAGCTGCTGCGGACGGTGAACCGGACGGTCATCTCCATGGGGCGGGATTCCGAGCTCATCGTAAGTGCCCTGGGACACACGCTTGTGTCTGAGCCGTGCCTGCCTGGCGTCCCTGCCTCAGGATGGTGCTCACTCTTGGCCCCAGTTCCCATCTGGTCCTTTTCCAGATGAGCTTATTTTGTTACAACAGGGGGAGCAGGGGAGACACAGCCTGGCGTGTAAGATGCACTCATTGTCCCGGGCTCCAGAAGCCGGCAACAAAGTTGTAGGGTGAGCAAGCCGAGAGCTCAGAGGTAGAACCGCTTGGCGCAAGTTTGGCATCCCTTGGAGTAGAAGACCAGGCCTGTATTTTCCAACTAAGTCTTCGTTCTTCTGGTAGTTTCTTTCTTTTATTTACATTTACGCTACCATTAATAAAATTTTACGAAGGACCTTAAAAAGTAATTGAGGTGTTCCAACTTAGCTATTTTATTGCCTGCTTTAATGTATCATAGGTGTTCCTCTTATATGAATAGTTAGGCCCGGAGAAGTATTAGGTTTTTAAGAACACGTAGGTAACATTGGCGGCAGCCTTGCAAGGGGCAGGCCGTGGAGCCTTTTCTCGTGAGAGTCCTGCTTTCTCTGAGTTCCTTCAGTCTTACGTTTGGGTTTGTAGCCAACAGATCCCCACGTAGGTCCTGTTGAATGGGCTGACTCCAGGGCCACTCCTGAGGTTTGCTGGTGTCCCCTGGTGGTCCTGCATGGGCACACTTAGCCCCTTGGCGTGTGGAAGTGGGAGGGGACTGCAGAGGGGGTGGCGTGTGGCTTGAAGACAAACCTGGTACGTGAGAAGCTGCTGAAATGCCTCTCGAGATGGGATGGAGGTGAGCCACTGGGGGTGATGTGGGGGTCCCCAGGGCATGGGTCAGGCAGGAGGTACCTCTGGGATACGGAGACACAGGCAGGCCCGCCTGTGGTTGGGGAACGTGGTCCTGTGTGTAGTGAGGCGGCCACGATCCTGTCTGTGGTTAGATGGACACTTTCGCATCTGTGCTGAGGGAGACTGTCCTGTCTGTGGTTAAGGGATACGATTTCATCTGTGACTAGGAGTACAAGGTCCCATCCGTGGCTAGGGCGACACTCTGATCTGTGGTTAAGAAGCACGGTCCTGACTCCGGTTATGGAGCGTGATGCTGTCTGTGGTTGGGGGTTTCGGTCTCGTCTGTGGTGAGATCATGGTCCCACCCATGTTCACGCGCTTACAGTTCTGCCTGTGGTTAGGGGACACAGCCCTGCTGCTCACAGGGTCTGCACTGCGGTTGTGGGACTTGGTCTTGCTGGTCATTACTGCCTTCAGTCTGGGTGCTTTGTCACCTGGTTCATGGCCCCTGGCCCACAGTTCCCCAACGGAGAGGGGGAAGGGTGGAAGGCCATAGGAGTTTGGATGGATCCCAAGGAATGTGGAGACTGCAAGAGGTGCGTGCAGCTTGGAGCAAAGGTAGAATGGAGCGGGTGGGGATGGAGTCTCCTCCCAGGCCAGGAAGGGGTTGGGGACCCCTCTGCCTCAGGGCAGGGCCAGTGTGGACCAGGTGTTGGCCACTCTGCACTGAGCTCTCTGTGCTGGGCACACGGTGTGGCCATGGGGAGACTCTCTAGTCCTTAGCATCTTCCAGCACAGGAGCCGCAGAAAAACCCCACAGGTGCCAAGAAGTAGCCAGGACCCCACAGCTGGGGCCGCAGTGCGTGTCCCGGCTGTGGTGCCAGGGCTTGCTCTCGGCGGCCTCTGTTAAGTCCAAAACCCAGGATACCCGGTGCTGTGGTCCATTCCAGGGAGTGTCCTAGGTCTCTGTTTCGGTTATGTAGGTGTGGGGGGGCGCCTGAGGCAGGGGGAGGGGGAAGCACCTTCCCATTTTCTGCCGTCTCCTGTGTTCTGCAGAGAGGGCCAGAGCAGAGACGGCGCCCTGTTCCTGAAGGGGTTGGGATGATGCCTCTCCTTGTCCAGAGGAACCTCTGGGAGCAGGTGGCCAGGACTGGGACTGGGGCTTGGTGGCGTGCAGGTGGCTTTGCTGGAAGGAACCTGTGCATGTTCAGAGAAGAGGGGTGTGACCGTGAGAGCCCGGCCTTCGGCTCACCGTCCATAGCCGAGGTCCTGCTAATGGTAGCTGGGCTCTAAGATGGGGTTCAGGGATGGAGGAGGCACAGTGGATTGTGTCATCTGGGCCCATCCCCCACAACCTTGACCTTCTCAGATGGAAATCTCTAGAAGCAGGAACGGAACTGATGTCTCATGCTGACACCTCCCAATTGTAACACATTCAATGCCTATAAAAAGAGTCCACAAATTCCTTTGAATTTCTTTTGTAAAATCAAGCTGTCATGGAAGAATTCTCCAAAAGAAGTATTCTGAATAAGCTATAATTATTTAATGAGCGATGACAGCATCAAGATGTTTTCAAGAAGGGTGTTTGCCATTTAAAACTTGAGTTGTTAGAAGGATCTTTCAGTCGTCAGCCCTGTGTGAGTCCCCTCTCGGCTGGCGCCCTGCCTGGGGGCCTCGGCCTGGCCTCCCTGTTGGCATCTGGCACAGATTTGTGCAGTAACTTCTCATGTGTTAGTTCTTGCCCTGTGAAGTTAGCGTAGAGGAAGATCAGGGCAAAGACTATTACTGACAGGGGCTGGCGCTGTGGCCCAGTGGGTTGAGGTGCTGCCTACAGCGCCAGCATCCCATACCAGAGGGCCAGGTCCTACAGCGCCACCATCCCATACCAGAGGGCCAGGTCCTACAACGCCAGCATCCCATACCAGAGGGCCAGGTCCTACAACGCCACCATCCCACACCAGAGGGCCAGGTCCAGTCCCAGCTGTTCTGCTTTGGATCCAGCTCCCTGACAAAGTACCTGGGAAAGCAGTGGAAGACGGCCCAAGTACTTGGCCCCCTGCTACCCATATGGGGGGACCCAGTTGGAGTTCCAGGCTCCTGGCTTTAGGCCTGGCCCAAGCTGGGCCATTGCAGGCATTTGGGGAGTGAACCAGCAGATGTACTCATGCCTGTGTGTGTGTGTGCATGTGTGCGTGTGTGCATGTGTGTGTGTGTGTGTGTGTATCTTTGTCTCTGTTGCTCTAGTTTTCAAATAAATAAATAAATCTCAAAAGATCCCTGAACAGGTGATCGAAAATTTTAATCCATGGGCCTTCTAGAGTAGCAAGTGCAGGAAGAAGTTTGCAGATCTGTTCTGGGTCAGCTGTGCCATTCCATTGTCTCCTGGGACTCCACCCTCTGTGTGTTACTCAGTTTCTATAAATGTAGTGGAAATTGTTTGAATTAGCTTAAAATTTTAATTATGCAGTGGAAATGAATTGTAATAGATGCCCTCCATTTAATGTTTTATTCTGTTGTAAGCAATAATACTAGAAATGTGACCTGCCCCCATTGGAACTCGAGATTGTGTGGGAATGTTGCTATGGCCTGACTCCTCCCCTGCCAGTGTATGGATGGACCAGAGCCCTGAGGAACTCGGCCCTAACATTAAGCTGTGATACACAGTACAAGGCTTTTTTTCCTTCATCTGTATCATTTGTTTGAGTGCATTGTATAGGACTGCGTGTCAGGCATAGGATAAAATGCTGTGGTCCTAAGTTGTATACATTACCGTTAACAGTAGAACACTGTGTGGCCGTTGTGGAACCATCAAGCACGTGGGTGCCAAAAACGGGCAGTGAACAGGCAGCGTTGCAGGCACCTTGCACGGGGTTCAAGGTCATCCTATCTCTACTCCTGTGCAGTCTGATTTTGTAGAATAAGCAAGTGGAAAACCTACTTTCGCATTGTCAGATCTCAGATTCGGTTTTTTGCTCCCTTTTCAGAAAGATTTCTGGATGCCAGTCACTGGGCAGCCTCGGTCAGCCTGTGCACGGTTCTGGGCAGGTGGCCAGGCCTGGGATCGGTGCTCTGTGTGATGTGCAGGTGGCCCGAGCAGCCACTAGGCCGGTGACCGGGGCCTGCACACGGGTGCCTGACCGTCCTGGAACGAACACTTGCGCCGTGCTGGGATTGGAGCCGACGAAGTGATCAGTATGCAGGAGGGCGCCTTCCCCCACCGTGTTAGCTGCCATTGCTTCTTGCAGCTGATCAGATTCACATTCTGTTAATGGGCCCTTTAAAACGGTGATCGAGGTAGAAGGACTGTTACAGGTTTTCCTCTGGCCTGGATCCACACCAAAGACAGGGAATTACTGTTTCACTCGAACGAATATGCGGGCTTCTTCCAAGGGAAGGTTCCTTTGGAAATTCACAGAGTCGCAGGGGACTCTATCCCGTGCCGACAGAGCATCCTGACATGCTGCAGTCGCAATGGGCGTGACTGGGTTTCTGCTCTGAGCATCAGCCCCCGAGCACGGATAGGATGCGGGTCTCTCTCCGATGGCAGTATTATTCGTGGGGAGTTTGCTGTAGTGAAAACCCAGTTACTTCCTCGAGCCTCGTGTGCTTCTGCATTCGAAACACAGAATGTGAGGTTTGGTTTCCCAGTTAAGAGCACCTTTTCTCCAAGACTCATAACCAGGTGTTTTCACCATGGTGTCCCGTCTCCATGAATGAGATTTATTCTGAGAAGTGTATCCTAACAGAGCTTAAGTATGAGTGTGCTTTTAGAAACTGCTATTTTAAAATCTTCACTGTAGCAGCAACAAAAAAAAGTTGTGATTCCAATGGACCTGTGTATGACTTTTATATTTAAAAATATCCTTAAATGTGTCTCTACTGTTTGCCAATAAATCTACTAACAAAATGTACGGTTTAAGGAAATCATCCTGACTCCCCTGTGTGTGCAGCCGGTGCTGGCTCCCTAGGGCGTTTCCTGGTCGGTGATGGTGATGACGGTTTTCCCTGCCTGGACATCTTCCTGTGGCCCTGCTGTGTGCTCCAAGGCTGGTCTCTAACGTGGGTTGAGTCCCGGGAATAAAAGTCATGTCGTTGCCTGAGTAATCTTTGCTCTGCAATTCCTGCATGTTGATACCACGCTGCAAAGATACCTTAATTACCGAGCTACCGAAACGGTAATAGGCTGCTTGCCCCTGACCTTGTCATCTGGCAAAATGTGTGCCACGTAGGACAGCATGATCAGCGCCTGCTGATTCCCCAGTCAGTGCGGTTTCTGGTCTCTGCATCCTGCAGCTGTTTACCTCTGCTCCGTGAGTCGATGGCACACGAGGCCCTTGCTGTCTGTGTGAGTGACGGGGCTTTGCAGGTGACGGCATGGGGCGTGGCCAGTGGGGTCTTGGGGAGATGCCGTGCCGGTGAACCTGGTCCGGTCAGCAATCAGGCAAATTTCACTTTCTGATAAAAAAAAAAAATCCTTGTAGTCAAGGATTTGGTCCAGCAGTCTGGGTTGTGTCACTGAGCCTCGCTGTCACGAATGAACACAGATGGACACGCTGACCACAGATGGAAATGTCTGTGGCCCCTTCCTTGTTCTCGTTCTCTTCTGTGAAAGGCAGAACCCTTTTCCTTGGTGCTGTGTCTTCTTGGGCTGGGGAACAGCTGTGTATCTCGTTGTGATGAGCCCCGGTGGCCCACCAAGGAACCAGTGCTGTGTGGCATCGTCTGGTTGTGGTTTGGAGACTGGAGTCTGGCAGTCTGAGCTGGGCTCCGACTGTGATGCCACTGTACCTTGTGGTGCTGCCACAGCCCAGTCTCCAAACACGAGACAACTCAGCAGGCTCCGAGGGGGCCTGGGAAATGTAGGCCACTGTTCCACCCTTGCCTGACGTGAGGAGGTTCTCCCACCTGGATTCCCTGTCCAGATTTGCCTCACTGCAGTTGCTGGGTGGGGTCTGAGGTCCGAGAGCAGGTGCAGAGCCCCTGGGCCTCCAGCCCCTTGGAGATAAGCTGCACACTGGCAGGGTGACTGCAGGCTACTGAGAGGGCAGGATGGCCTTCCGTGTTCCTGGGTGTTGGTGGACCAGGGCCTGTGAGCAGCACAGCAGGAAGCTTGATCATGTGGCTGGACAGCTCCCTCCACCCGTCCCTGCCCTCTGTACCCATCCCTTACATCCTCCCCTGCTGTCCCCTGAAGCGTGTGAGAGGGTAGCAGGAGTCTCTTAGCCAAGCCTGCAGAGCCCAGGGAAGGGGACGGTGACCTCTCCACCAACAGGGTGAGCAGCAGAGGCCACCACTGGCTCGCCTGTGCTCGCGGAGGCAGTATTGTTGGGCTGGTGTTCGTGGGAGTGGGAGGTGCACCTGCCTCCCACCCAGGAGGAGGAGGAGAAGAAAGGCAGGGGAAGGCAGCCCATCCCCTGGGGCTGGGAATGATACGGAGAGCAGCTGCTTCATCGGCTGCTGGATGGTTGCAGGGCAACGCTGGGCAGGTTGGACATCTCCCACGAGGTCCCTCACCTCACCCTGCAGGGAGCCTGTGTGGTACCCTGTGACCTTACAGGGTTATCCTGGCTTCCTGGCAGCCAAGGACCAGGCCGGTGTCCGGCTCCCCAGGCCACCCAGAGGGCAGTGCCGAGGCTGAGCAGTGGCCTCCTCTTCTGACGACCTGGTGACCGTTCTTCCGGCATGATGATTTTCTTCCATGATTTTTACTTTCCCAAGTTACAGAGGCCATGAAATCAGTAGCCGCACAAAATATTATCTTTTATGTTTTATTTAAAAATTATTAAAGAACTTAATGACAGGTATAATAATTTAATCTCTATACGTAATGCCGTGTGCACATCTACATACGCGGGAACATTGTACGTTGTATCTTGGTTTTATATCAAAGTTTGACTTCAATCTTTCCAGGAGAAGGATCACCATCTATTAGTGACACGTTGCAATGAAACTATGACATGATTTTGAAAGTATTTCTTTTCTATTTTGAAGAGACTTTTATTTTTAAGGAGGGGTTAGTGTATCTCCAGGGATTCCTTTTTTAACTCTGAACATGGTAATCTTGTTTTAGTTGAGACCGTTTGAAACAATAATGTGATTTTGTGTGCTGAGATGTCCTCTTGTTTAGACAGATTTGTAGAAGTAATCAGAAAGCTGCGAATACCCTCATTTTAATTCACTGACATAGTTGGGGTTCTTAAAACATAAGGAGGCATAACTTGTTGCAAACGTTTTTACAACATTAGTTAAAAACAGTATAAAAAACATGAGACACATTTTTAGATTTTTTTAGTCTACATGAAACAATTGCACTTTCTCCTGTTCAGGATACACTGTCATCTTTCTTCTGGCACTAAATGTTTCTCAACTCTGCTTCCTGGTACTTGGGGGTTTGAATCTTTCTACTGTGTCTTCAAAAGGCGTGTGTGTGTGTGTGTGTGCGAGTGGGTGTGTGTGCGTGTTAGACTGTGTATGTGTGCGACTGTGTATTGAGTGTGTGTGAGAGACTGTGTGGGTGGGTGTATGTGAGAGACTGTGTGTGTGTATCTGTAGTATTGTTTGAGAAATCCCCAAGGAATGTTTGCTCACTTTTTTCAAGTCCTGATCTCATTACTGATCACTAGGCCTTGTAGAGCCAACACACTTAGAACTAAAATAGATTTGCTGTTGGCAGGAGGAAAACGCGTGGCAAGAAGTAGCTCCATTCTGAACAAAGCAGGTCAAGATCCTTTTCACCAAGACCGTTGGTGTTTGGCATCTAATCTGTGAGGTGTGCAAGTCTGCACTCGATTACACATGAAACTGCAGGACAGAAACTCGAAGACTAGGTTTTCTATATGTTCACAGACTCTTCAAAATTTAAGTTGTACAAAAAAAGGCAAAATAAGATCCCTACATCCTATTGTGAAAAGCAAAAAATTGATAGACAAAGTCATTACTAGACTAGGGGGTTTTGATTTCTATAAAAAGATACTTGCAAAGGTGCAAAGGAATGCGTGAAAAAATAAAGAACTAAGACTTCCATTGCGATGTGTATGTAATCAGGAGAGAACTCCAAGTGGTACTGTTGATTTAGAAAATACCTAAAAACATCTGAGTCACAGCTTTCCTCTAAGTATGTCCCTTAGTACAACTTACTAATAGGTTAAATGTGGGTGACAGTAAGTTTGTCCATTGGTTAGCAGCTAAACGAGACTCGCTGTTTCTCTTTGAGATGGCCAGGTCTTGCACAGATGTCACGAGGCAGAACACATTGTGTAGGACGTCTGGCTTTGCTCACGGGATGAACAGTGTCTCCAGTGACTGAGCTACAACAACACTTTTTCCGCTGCGGTCCAGACGCCTGGGATTTATCCATTGTGTGTGTCTCCAAATTCCTGCCAGAATTTATCAGTTGGCCTTCGGGTACCAAAAGATTAAAAATGAGATCTAAGAAAGCTTAGTGTCCCATAGCTCTGACCCTGTCAACTTGCAGTGATAAAAGGCATATCCCGACTTCGGGGGACTCCTGGCTGCTGGCCGTTTGGAAAATGAGCGGTGAACGAACACGTCAGAGGTCTGGAGATGAAGAGGGTGCTGAGTCGGAGGTGTCGTGTGACACGGAGATGTGGTCACTTGGCTTAGCGCTACAGCACATGAAGGCAAATATACACGTAGTCACATTTGAGAGAGTATTCATGGTCTCCGACCATTTGAAAAAATTGTGCTTTCTCCAGAATTTGATGTGCTGAAAATTGCACTCGCCCCCTGCTTATTTGCAAAATGAAACATAAAAATGAGGTCCTTTGCAAACATAAGGCTTGCGATTTTCTTCTCATTATTAAAAAAAAAATAAATAAAGGCTTGAAAATAACTATGAGTTTTAGCTGTGTACAGAGTGACAACCTGCCCTGGCCCAGGCTGCTGACATAATTCTTGCAGGTCTCGGAGGAGGGGAACCGGAGTTTGACAGCGTCTTGGACGGTGTAGGTTCTGTTTCCGGTTTTGCTCCCCTCCCCAGTGAGCTGTGACGAACAGCCGGCAAGGTGGGGCCCTGCACACCGTGCTGCTGTTGGTGATCTCTTGGTACAAAGGCCTTTTTTGGTACGCAGGGCGAGAAGCGGGGGGCGCCCGCGTCGGCACCCCGGTGTCCTCCGTCCGATCCGTCTCGGAAAAAGGATTGACTTCACTCGAGTGGGTTCAGAGTCGGCCGTGGGACTCCGCTCACCACGCGTCCTAAAGGAACCAGAGTTTCCATCTTCCGTGCTTTTTGGATTCGGTTTTGGATTTTTGCTTGGGAGTGGAGGAGGCGGTCTCCTGAGAGTAAGGCGAAGGTGCGACCTGAGTTTCCTCAATGGTATGGAGTTTCCTCAGCACTGGCTGCAGTTTGTCTTCTTGCTGCTTAAAGTCGAGCTCCACACTAGAACGACAAAGGGGCAGGGTTTAGAGCCGGGCTCCCCACACACAGAACCCTCTGCCCAAGGCGCCATTCCATACTCTGCCAAGGGCACGTTCGTCCGTAGTGTGCTTACCGTGTCACGGCCGCCGAGTAGGAAGCCATCGGCTGTACTGTACTTGTGTGTCACTGTGAAATATTTCAAATAGTCTCATTTGCCCTGGAAAATCGGTTATTTGCTTCCATGGGCGAATCTTTGAAAGTTGTGTTAATGTATGCAGTTGGTGTTGGAGGCTCACATGTCTCCTTCGATGAGAAAACAGTGAAATCTGAACCGTTTTGCTGCTTGTCCATCAGCTGCCCATGAATGGTATGTTGTCACGACCACGAACTGAGAGCTGGAATGGGCAAAGGTCCTAGTGCACGCGCACCAGGTACCCACCAGCCCAGGTCCCGGGCGCCTTGTCCCAAGGTCACAGCACCTGTTAGCCCACCTGAAACCATCGGGGAGGGAAATGACCTCGGCTTCCATTTTCCTCGCAAAACCTTACCTGTCTGAAAAGCTCGCAAGAGCCACAGTGCCTGGCGCTGGGGAAACTCCTGTGTTTATTGGGTCAACACCGTTGAATGTGACTCAGTTGCTATCAGTTTTTAGGAAGAAACACAGATAGCCTTCAGTCAGAGCAGCACAAAATTGCAGTGTGCAGACGCAGAGCTCCCAGGTAGGGCATTTGCCAGTGGCGACAATCTCTGTGTCAGAGGCGTGGCATTAAAGAGGACCTCCTACACGTATGTTATTTCTTGGGAAATCGCCACGAAGAGTGACGCCAACCTGCCTTGAGTCCCCCCTTCTCTCTGTGGCTTTGAACAGCACCCTCTCCCAGGACCCTGGGGCGTTTGCAACAGGAACCCGTGATCCTGTGTTGGCTCTCAGTGAAGATGCGCAACCCTGCCGCCTGCCTGCTCAGCGGCGCCGTCCCCAGCACCGTGGGCCAGGCTGCTGCACCTGCCAGCCTCGGGGAACTCTCTCGGCCTTGCTTCTGCGTCGGGTCTAGAGGTTCAAATAAATGTCAGCGGATCTCAGTAAAGGCTCAGCAGCGATGCTAATGCATGAGCTCATCACATTTTATAACAGTGGAACCGCAAACCATTTATAAACATGAAATCCTATTGATTTAGGGAACCATTAATCCTCACCAAATTTTGACATTTTAGAAAGACAGAACAGCAAAGCTGTCTTATCTTGAGTTCTAAAAGCAAGTTCAAGACCCGCCTAATGGACCGATTTATGTCTCAAATCCTCCGTTCCATTCTTCTTATTGTCACAGACAATAATATTACTCTAGAAATTAGGGGAAAAAATGTCAGACAAGTTTATGGCTAGCTACCCCCTCTCCCAAGGCAGGAGCGATTCTTTCTCCTTCCTTAAAGTCCTGTTTGAATCATGGAGCTCGAGTCCTCCAGTGCAGATGAGATCAGCAGACCCAGTCCCTCGTCAGGGACAAAATGCAGTTCTAAGGATGTGGTGCATTTAGGGCACTTGAGCCTTGGCTGTGTGGTGCGGAACTGCAGGAAAAATGTGCTGCTGCTCTGATGCTGGGGGTAGCAGTGGGGTGCCCTGCCCCCCTCAGAGTCGGCTGTGCAGTTCAAGGGGGGACAGTACTATTGCCCTTTTGTGTTGCAGAACTGGAGGGTTCCCTGCCCCCACCCCCAACCAAGGCAGGAAAGAACTCGAAACCATGTGAGGCAGTTCCAATGCCATTGTCCCTCTTTGTCCTTATTTTCTGTAGCTCGCTAGTTCTGTCCTGGGAACAAGCGCTAAGTACTGAAGACGCCTGTTGGGGGATTCTTCATCTTGGACATCTAACAAGGGGACGGGGAGCTGCTCTGCTGGGCCTGGGCGCGTGGTGTGTCAGGGACCAAAAGGGGCTGGTGCCGCCGCCCCCACTCTCCGCTTCACGACTGGCTCCCTGGTCCCAGCCGGGTTTAGTTATGACTGCAGGAAGGTGGTGCATTTCCTAGGCTACCACTTCAATTCTGGGTACCTGTAATTATTGAATTCCCATTAAACAGCTACATTGGGAATCCTGTTATTAACCAATTTATCACACCGCGGAACCATGTAATCACAGAGTAATCTAATCTGAGACCTTGTTAACAAAATGACTCGACTTTATCTGTCGGGGTGACTCCTCCTCGTGTTCCCCCAGACGCTGTGACCCAGAGCAGGCTTCCCCGTGGAAGGCGTGTGGGAGCCAGTGCCTGCCCCTGGGGCCACTGAGGCGGCCGAGAGCTGCGCCCCCTCCAGCCCCCATCTGCCTCCTGGAACTTGTAGTGGACCTGCTTGTGGGTGATGGGTGTGCTGCCGGCCACACTGTGAGGACAGAGGGATGGCGTGCACCTGCTAAAGACTGCTGTCTCCTGGGGGCTTTTCTTCCTGGGGAGGGGGCGCTCCAGGTCACTGGGTGAGGTGAAGCAGGCAGCTGGCTGCTGAGGATGGTGTCAGAGGTTAGAGGCCTGACCGGCCAAGTCTGGCTGACCTTGAGGTTGTAACAGCCGAGTGGGCAGAGGAAAGCCACGCCCGCTCCCCAGGTGAGGAAAGGGGTTGGACCTTCTGGGGGGCATTGTGACTTCTGTTCCACAAACCAGCAGCGCGTTTTCTGGGACATCTACAGGGGCCCTGACAGTGACAGCTAGCTGGGTGACAGGTGCTGGTTGCCATCGATGGTGGCTAGACTTCTTCCTTCCTCCGGCTGTTACTTGTCCCCGGCCTGGAAGGTCCATCCCTGATCCCGCGGTCCACAGGGACACAGCTGCTCCTCTGTGTGTGGCCATCTTCCTAAAGAGCGTCCCTGGCAACCCTCTCGTTCCCATCTCTGCACCAACCCTGAAGAGTTATTGTTGCCGTGGGACTTTGCCTCCATCTTTGTGCACGTGGGTGCCGTGGCCGGTGCCCGGAGCAAGGCCTGCCTCTTGGCAGCTGCCTCAGAAGTTTTCCAGAAGGAATGCATGGGATCAGAGCCTTCCAGGGCAAGTCTTGCCTCTGCATTGGCGCCTGCACTGCTCTGCTTAGGTCAGATATGTAGGCTTGTTCCTCCCCGGATGGACCCCTGTGGACACAGCGACCTGGGCTGCCCCTGGAGGCAGCTCTGTCGCTGCAGCCGCTGCAAGTGGTGCATCAGAAGTGAACTGAAGATCCTGAAATGTGTCCAGAGGAACACATGGAGCCTCAGCTCCTGCGTCCGGTTCTCCACTTCCGATTATTTGCCACAGGTCTGCCGCGAGAGCTGGCCGGGTTGGTGGAGTGGGCAGGGGTGTGGGGCGCTGGGTGTGGCCTTGTCTTTCCTCTTCACTTCTCCCGTGGGCCAGAGGAGGGTCTGGGCCTGCGCTGAGGCCCAGCCTGTTGTTGCTCCAGCGACGCAGGTTCTGAGCGCATGGCTGCCTCGTGGTGTTGGCACTGGCACTGAAGCCAGCATGCACTCAGGCGGGCGGGAAGTGCAGGCTCCTGACCTCCTGGTCTCACTGCCCAGAAGCCCGGGAGGCGGACGCTGCTGGCTGTGTTTGCGCTGCGTGGGCTGGGGGTTGTGCACGCCATGCTGGATGCTTTCTCGTAGAGGCCAAGCAGCCTGGGAAAGTCCTGTCTCCCGTGTTCAGAGGGGAAATGTGGGTTGGAGCCCAGCCGGCCTTGCTTGTGCAAGGTGCGCTCTCCTCATCACGGTGTCAGACGTGGGCTGCGGGCTGTGCTGCGTGAGATGGAAAGAGGCCTGGACGCTGTGGGTGTGCACGAGATGGACAGCCCAGGGCTCTTCCTGTTCGCCTGTGTAGCGCTCTTTCTCCACCCGTGTCCCCAAAGCAGTTGGAAGTTACTGAAGACCCCTCCTAACTGTGCGACTCCTTCTGATGCACGATTCAAACCATCTAGGGTAGATCCAGTTCCTTTGTTCAGTTTCCTTTCTCTCTGTCTCTCACTAAGTTGTAAGCATGGGGGCTGATTTACAAGATCATTATTCTGGAAATCTCGGGCCGCTCTCACTTCGTTTTCTCCTGGAGACATGCTAGCATGTGCGGTCAACACATCCCCTGACCACTTCACGTGGCTGCACAGCAGTGGCCTCTTCGGTCTCCACTTCTACCTTTTTCTGAAGCTCCCAGGAATACTTAGGCTCTGCTGGTTTCCTCAGCAGGCTGTCTCCCACTCGTCCTGTGGATGTGAGAGGAACGCGTTGAGTGCAGTCGCTCCAGTTGCTGGGTGCGGTCGTTGGGAGGTGAAAGCTGGGGGGTTCTGCTGGGTGGTGTAGCGCGGTAGGGTCATCTGCAGCCTGGGCCCCTGCATCCCACACTGGAGAGCTTGACATCGCGTTTCATCTGTTTCCCATCCAGCTTCTTGCTGACGTGCACTCTGGGAGGCAGAGGGTGATGGCTTGAGGCCCTGCCACCCACGTGGGAGACTGGGGTGAAGTTCCTGGCTCCTGGCTTTGGCCTGGCTCAGGCCCAGCTGTTGTGGGCATTTGGGGAGTGAACCCATGGATTGGATGGAAGATCTCCCTTTGTCTCTTCCTCTCTCTCTGTGTCACTTTGTATTTCAAGTAAACAGAAAAATCTTTATAAAAAAAGAAGGTGGCCGGCCCCACAGCTCAATAGGCTAATCCTCCGCCTGCAGCGCCGGCACCCCGGGTTCTAGTCCCAGTCAGGGCGCTGGATTCTGTCCCTGTCGCCCCTCTTCCAGGCCAGCTCTCTGCTGTGGCCCGGGAGTGCAGTGGAGGATGGCCCAAGTGCTTGGGTCCTGCACCCGCATAGGAGACCAGGATAAGCACCTGGCTCCTGGCTTTGGATCAGCGCGGTGCACCGGCCGCAGTGCGCCGGCCACGGCAGCCATTGGAGGGTGAACCAACGGCAAAAGGAAGACCTTTCTCTCTGTCTCTCTCTCTCTCACTGTCTACTCTGCCTGTCAAGGAAAAAAAAAAAAAAAAAACAACCAGCAGGTGAGTTTGGCTCCTGAGCACCCCTGGAGTCTGTGTCGTGTG